TAAAGTTGCCATTAATTATTGCACTATCGTTCTCTAATTACAAAAAGAAACATAATTGGGCACCAATCATATACATATCAATTGTTAGGATTGGGTTCGTATTGCACTATCTTTCTCCAATCACAAAATGAAACATGATTGGGCACCTTTCATATATATATCAATTGTTAGGGTTGTGGCGGTCTCACTTTTTTAGTGTTATCGCGTTGTCAAAATAGTAATACTGTACAATTTATTTTTAATTATTATTAATATTCTTTTGGTTTTAACAAAAATAAGTAACACAGTTTGTTTTGAGTTAGACTTACAAGAAAAAATATATTTGGCGACTAAATTTTTGGTCGTTAAAAATCAAATTTTTAGTTTTTCTAACTAAATTTTTTAGTCACTGGTTTGGTCGCCGAAAGACAGTCGGGAAAGGTATTGGCGACTAAAAAACTTTTTATCGCCAAAAATAAAGTCTTTAGCAACCAAAATTTTGGTCGCCAATAGTCAATTATATTTTTAAAATTATACATTTACCGATCAATTTTTTAGTCGCCAATAGTCAATTATATTTTTTTAAATTATACATTTACCGACAAATATTTTAGTCGCCAATACTCAAGAAATCGACGACCAAACCTTTTAGTCGCCAAAAGCTCATTCGTGAAAAAAAAAAAAATTACACTTTGCTCTTAAATTACACTATGCACTTGTAGAGATTCGAACCATCAACCTCGCACATTGTAAATCTTATACAAGACACTCTTTCCATTACGCCTCCATAACACCATATAATTATATATACAACATATATTATTTATATAGTACTCAGGCCCGTATTAATATAAAAGTATATATATATAAACATAATTATTTTTTATTTAACATAATTTATGTAAAAATAAATTATTTAGTAGAAAAAAAAAAGAGATCACTATTGGTGACTAAACATAATTTTAGTCACAAATTCTATACTTTTGGCTATTAATTATTTTTTAGTCGTTAAAAAAAAATTCCAGCGCTAAAATTATCACTTTTGGCGACTAAATTCTTTTTAGTCCCAAAAAGCCTCATTTTTGGCTACTAAACATATTTTTAGTCGCCGAATGCTTCACTTTTGGCTACTAATTTTTTTTAGTCGCCAAAGGGCCTTACTTTTGGCTATTAAAATTTTTTTAGTCGGTAAAAGCCTCGCTTTTGGTGGCCAAACAGATTTTTAGTCACCAAAACATATACTTTCAGCGACCAAATGTGATTTTTTAGTCGCTAAAAATATTTTTTCTTGTAGTGACTGTAATAAAATGACGACACTAAAATGATGGGACAGAGGGTTAGGACAGAAAACCCAATAATAAGACTTCCATATTAATCGGTCTTGGTTGGTTATTCAAGGGCATGGCATGCCCATTTACTATTTAAAATATTCACAGCCTACCTAATTTGAAAATGAAATTTGATATTCTTAAAGCAATCATGTAGTCATATTTTTATTTTTTGAAGCAAAAATAAATAAATAAATAAATAAGAAGAAAGAAAATTTAAGTAAAGAAGGAAGGAAAAATAGTCGAAATATGTTTATGATGTGCTATATGACCTATGAAATTGGTGAATCTGGATGCTTCTTCAGAATTATGAGGATCTTTGCTACACAAAGCATAGACAATGAAATGTTCAATTAAAGTTGCATGGACCCCTTGAGTGCACAAATCTTGGCTGCTGATGAAAAAAGTATGGATTTTCCTAGTGGCCAAACACTCCCGATAATATCCAATAAAGTTTCATTGTTATCCAATTCCTATGGTTGACAAATTAAGGTGTTTCACATAAAAATTTTATTATGAACACAAAAATTAAATATAAACAACGTACAAAATATATATAAATAGACAATATTTAATAAAATTTATCAGTAAAGCTTGTTTCTAAACGAATTTTGTTTATTTATACATATTTAATATATGATAATTTAATTAATTTTTGTATTCCTAAACCTATTCTCTCTATAAACCCATATCACAACTAATAAGATAAATGATTATGTCAGTCGCTTTCTGTTTCTACTTTCACTGATTAATATTATGTGTGGCATTTGTGGCCACAATCCAAAAGGTAAAGCAAACAAAATGGGGTCAAACATGTGGACTACCCTTATATTAACCCTAGTGATGATGTGAGGTGGACTACCCCTCTATTGCTCTAGAAATAACTTTTCATATTCACTTTGACTTGGATTAGTGTCTGTGTGTAAAATTATCAAGTTGTTAAGCTAAATCATTCATATTAAATTAAGGTTAGGTCAATGACTTCTACGATTTCAACCATCATAAAAAAAAGTTATAAGAGATTATAGAGATAAAATGTCTCCTCTCAACTATAAATATAAAAATATTAAAGCAACAATTTACAAGTGTGAAAAATAAAAAAAAATATCCTTACTTCAAAATTAATTTGGACACACAATCGAATGGTTGATGTTCAGTATCTACACTATCCCAACACTTATCTTTAATGGTATCGAACAATATCAATAAATATGTGTGAATCAATATTTAAAACCCCATCTAATACATCACGATCGGACAATATTCCATCAGAATCAATAGCTAGTGTTTTAGCAAATGGAAACTACTAAAAAACATAATTGTATTTTCATATGAAGTAAAGGTTAAGAAACATGAAACCCATTGTAGATCAATTCTTTATCGGTAGTAGCAAAAATGTCTGACTCGTTAGCACTTCAAGCTTGAACGAGTCAGCTCAATGTAGATTTGATATACACATGCATGTTTAAGCTCAACTTGAGCTTGTTTAATGAACTCGAATATGGATAGAACTTGGTTTGAGTGAGTCTGAAATAAGCATATTCTTTGTCAAAAAGATCAGTGGCCATCTTGGACCAAGCCCTAGCTAACAACTCAATTAATTCTATCTCACCAATTGAGACCAAGGCCTTCTATTACTATTATTTTTTTTAAAGATTGGCTTATATGGGACTCTTTTTTTTTTTGGGGGGGATTATCGATCTATTAAGATTACGTATCATATCTCATGTTTAGAATGTTCTTGGATTAGGAGGAGAAATAAGTATAATTCTATCACATTCCATATTTGTTTGCAATCAATCAATTGGACTAGCTCAGTTGGCTACCACTATACACTTCTATTTGAGAGGTCAAAGGGTTGATTCATGCTAAATGCAAAAAAAAAAAAAAGAAAAAAAAAAAAGAAGATAATTTCTCACATATTATAGGGCTCTTTCTTAAGTTGATTGTGGTCTCTTTGTTGACTTAATTGCTGGGTTTATATTATTGTTTGGTTATGATTTTTCAGATAAAATTCTATTCATATTGTAAATAATCACCTATTGATTGACCAAAAAAAATAAATTTTACTTGGAATCACTAGCTAGAGATAGACTGCATAAGGAACTAATTGGGGGGCATTTTGATCTTTTTCAAATGTTAGTTTGAACCCTTAATCCTCCATTTTGTATCCCACTCCAAATACCAGATAACATATTTTGTAGGACATGTGCTCCTTTCATGAGTTGTCACACTCGAATTCGAGTATTTATTGTAGTATAATATAATTTTTCCTTCTTTTATTTCTCTCTTACCGATTGTAATAATTAATAAAAAAAATTAAAATATCTCAACAACTAAATGTTATGGCCAAGGGATCAACTGCATTTTGGACCACACTATAAATACAGCCCAACATTAGAGAGTGGAATGATAGTCCTCACCAACTCACCATCAAGAGAAAAAAAACAACCATGATATCAGTTGCATTTTCAGGAATAGGAAAAAATGATTCATATAAAAGGTGAAGTAACATCAATAATTACAAGATTGGATCATATTTGACTAATAAAAATGGATAATAAGAATAATATTGAGAATATATGTCTATTTTTAAAACAAATGTGATCCAATCATGTTACTACTAATTTCAATTAATACACATATATATATATATATCAGCAATGCTACAGACCCCCAGTGCCACGTGTCGGCCTGGGTTGGCTGAAAACCAAAAAAAAAAAAAAAAAACTGTTTTTTTGACCAATGGGAAGGGACCCCCAGCACCCCCACTGGGGGTCCGAAGCTTTATTCTATATATATATATATTGCATAGATAATATGCTTGGCAATCTTTGCAAAATGAATGATTCAGATCATTAAGATAGATCTAGAGTAAACTTACCGAACTCCGATAGTACCTTTTCAATTGGATCACCTCCTTAAATGATGCCAACTCTTCAATTAAAGTGATGTGTAGATGGTCATGTTGGAGTCCTCTAGTCAAGCTGGAATCATAGAGTTGAAAATCAGCCTCTTCACAACTGCACAACAGGCCAGGAAATTACTGGCTTTTGGTTATGTAAAGCTCAAACCTTTGTAGGAACTTCTGGTTATGTAATGCTCAAACCTGTGTAGGAACTATAGTTCGGGTAGTGTACACTGATATCTGAAATGAATCATAAACTCAATGTTCTGGTCAATTTTTCTTGGTGATATCTCCAAAAAAAAAAAATCAAAAATCAAAAAATCAACTTTTAACTGATTTCCCAAAACAATCTAAGTCAGCCAGTTGTAGGATGGAATTTCTCCTTTCCTTGCACTAACAATCCAATAAGCCTTTTGCTAAAAGCATACATTCATCTGATAAGGTTTATTGAGCATATCCCATTTCTAACGTTAGATCTTCTTGGCTCGATGGCCAATAGTACTAGAGGGTAAAGTCCTTAGCATCACATGTGAGCCAAACAGTGGCAGGCATCGACCATCTGTCAAAGAAAAAATAATGAATGGATCTTGAAAGATTCCCAACAAATTCTTCAATTTCAGTGAATAGTCGGGACATTGAGAACCAAAGAGGCATTTCGGATATCAGTCAATTCCTTCTCCACATAGCATGTACACGTTTTTTCACAGGTCAGAAAAGACTGAGCACATGACAATCACAAAAACAATTAGCATTTGTTAAATATTGGAGAAGCTGAGAGAATGATAGAAACAATAGTAGCATTTGTAAAATATTAGATAAGCTGATAACAGCAGTGTGATCCTCCTGATACACAAAAATCATACTGTACACAAAAAAAAACTTGATACAATTATTCCTTCAATATCTAGGAAAAACAGCTTGTGAAAAAAGTTAGTGAAAAACACATTACATATCCAAATATCCTTTCGAGCTCTGAGTTCTATACAGAGATATAACATTTTAGTCGAACAAAGAGTGACGCTTTTACACAAGTAGAACAAAAGGGTTCATAGTGCAGACCCAACTCACTGCTCTCCATTAATGCCGAAGATACGGACCTTGTGCATATTGGGGAATTTGGCAACAACGAGCACAAACACTGCAAGAGTGTTGAAGAAGAGCATCGGGTGTTGGTAGTCAGTTGTGTGTGAGGCTATCAAGTACCTGTCACAATAACAAACAAAAATTGAGTAGTTATTGATCGGTCTTGAGCTTCAAGATATACATATATATATATATATACATATATGCAAACCATGAATGCAAGGCTTTGTATAGCATTTGGCTAATATAACCAAAAAGCTAAAAAAATCACTATAAGTTGTCATATCACTCTTTCTACTTTTTTGTACATCTTTTCGTAAAAAGCCAACTAAAATAGTCACTTCCCAAATGAGCCTAGATTCAATTTGATGTACAAAGAGTATATGAAGTCCAGAAATAAATCAAACGCTAGAACAAAATCTTCCACAACAATTAGTCTAAATTTCATCAATAATATTTACTGACACCGTTAACAATAGTCATTGATAACAGTTTCTGTGTTGGAGCTATTTATAACTTTTCCTTTTATTTTAAAAATTTGTGTCAGACTCTTTGGTACAACTTATAAAGTGGAACAACTTAAATAAACTGAAAAAAGCTAATAATTGAGAAACAGGGGAAGGAATGTACGTTTTTAATTTCTGCTTTCTGAAATCAGCTTTCAGCTTGCAAGAAGTTGAACCAAACAGGTCCATATGTAAGTCACTAGCAGTAGTTTCTACTGTCTCTTAACAACCCACAAAATTGACAGCAAACCATCTCCATTTTCCAATATGCTACATTAAGCTTCCGTGCATGGCCATGGTATGTCATCTTTACAAAGAAAGTATGTAATAGTTTAATGGGTGGTGGGTGGGCGGGTGGGTGTGTCACACGTGTGTCTTGCAGCAACAGTTGGTTCAACATCATAAAAAAATAACATAGTTATGTTTTGGTCATTCACTAGCAAGGTATGTGTCATACAATGTCAAACACAATTTATCTGTTCCTTACAAAACAATGAATTTGGTGTACAAATGTAGCGAATAAGCAAAAGGTTAAATGAACTCAAAATCTTTAACTTAGCCAAATTGCAATGTTGTGTCACGTGAAGCCTCATGTTTTTTTCGTCTATTATTCTATATCTGTACTGGGAATCAAATAAATATAAGGCACATATGCTAAAATGTACTAGATAAAATGACATTTTATGGTTTGGCCCCAAAATAGTCAAGTGTACTAGAAGCCTAACATCTTCCAACAAAATAAACATTTCCTCTTTCTAAAGCTGATTATAAATACTTAATTAGTAATTTCGTATCTTGAAAAGTAAGAAAAATTAAATTTGAATAAAAAATTTTACTCAGAGAAAAATTAAGCAATGGTTATCTAAATTAATATTAATTTAAATGTCAAAAGGCCTCTATTTGAGATTTTGCTTGAGGCCTCAAAATGGCTGGACCACCCCTCTGTATGTGTGTGTGTGTGTGTGTGTGTGTGTGTGTGAGAGAGAGAGAGAGAGAGAGAGAGAGAGATGAAGGAAGGAAGGAAGGAAGAATTTGCAAACGTGTGACAAATTGCTAACATAGATAGTATAGTATAAATAAAGCACTCAACAGGGACAAGGAAAAAAAAAAAAAAAAAAAGGAAAATGTAACAAAAAAAAAAAAAAAAAAAGAGAAGAAGAAGAAGATAAATTGTTAGCATAAACCATAGCAAATACCAGACACAGTTAATGAATGTCGTGCACACTGACTCCATCATGACTCTAATGGATCACTCAGTCACTAGTGTGCAGTTGCAAAATTTAGAAACCAGAAGTATCAATGACAATATAATAATCAGATCGGCTAAGAAGCATGTACATGTACACAACACTGACACGCCGATATGGAAATTTTCAAAAAATGTAAGACACGACAGATGGAAGACGGGTGCAAAATTTATAATTTTATGTATACATGTCATATATAAAGATAAATAATTATTATAAGTCATATATATAAAAATTTAAGTTAAAAGACAATATTTTTGAAACTCTAATGGAGAAGAATAAGTATAATTCACATTATTTGTGTTTGAAGTGTCCGACGGGTATCATGTCTTGCTGTGTCGGTGTTGGACACAATACATTACCTTCCTAGAAATGTCCATGCTTATTAGGAAATCGGTGCTGAACATGCACAAATATAAAGAGTCTGAGAAGCATACTAACTTGTATACAACTGACTAAATTTAAATCAATTTAATGCATAATATATCACAAATGAAGAAAATCTCCAATGGGACTCCACAAAAATCTAGATCCAAACTAAAAGGATGATACAATAAAAGTTTACTTACAGCACCACAGGTACAACAGTGAGGAACTTTCTGTTGCGGGTGAGCTGCTTTCCATGGTCAATCTGTTCCCACCAAGTCAGCCCATTATAGATCCCCTGGTCGTCAGCAAACGGAGTTCCTTTCTTCCAATGGAAAAAGTGATAAGTGACCTAAATAGAGAAGCATACTCGTCAATCATGCAATATGAGGGCAATCAAGCAAATCAAGCTAGTGCACAAAATATAAACTGACAAAGTAAAAATGAACCAAAGTTTTCTTAACAAGAATTAACATAAAAAGCAACATTTGATAATTGAAAATTCAGCTATCTGGCAAATAAATAGTGTTGGGATATCCACATAATGATTTTGGGTAATTACCACCAGTGGAAGACAGCTTAGAGGGTTCAACTAGGGTTTAGTAAAGCAGTTTAAATGCTTTGATTGAAACAGAATCGCTTAATCACAGAAAAATTGAGAAAGAGAAAGAGAGAGGGCAACCCAAGCAATCATGCCATTCAAGAAAAACCACAAGCTGCAAATACTAAATTGAAGGTTTCCTTTCATAAATTAAAAATAAATAAATAGAACCAAAAGAGAAAAAAAGAAAAAACAAACAAAACAAAGAGAAAACCTCATAAGCACTCCTTTATCAAGTAAACTGACCACTTAAATCAGCCAAATCCAACTATCAAAATCTATGTAACAGGCACACAAAAGGATGTATAACCAAAACAAAAAAAGATTAGTGTTATGGTATCACAAGAACCACAAGGTAACATGTAAATAATACAAAGAAAAGTACTCACCACAATAACCCTATATCAACTTAAATTTGCCCTTATGTAGGTGTTAAGGCAAGATAAAAAGGCTAACAAATGAAGACTTGAAACAAAGCACTATAAGGAGACAAAGCACCAGACACTTTCCTTTAGACTCTTGGATCATAGACACACATGACTCATGAGGCCAGCTTACAATGGGAGTACCTATAACACATCAAGAAGACCAAAGATCACAAGTAATGTCATCTGTGGAATGTGATGCTCGATTAGACACATAACAGCCACTATGCTAATTGTAGATAAACAATCTACTCCCTCCATCCTATTTTGTTAGTCCATCTTTCCATTTTGGGACGTCCCAAAATATTAGTTTTATTTCAATAGTCCAAAAAAAAAAAAGTTTAAAGTTTTCCAAAACTATCCCTTATGTAAGTATTTTAAAAATGAGAGTAAAAGGATATTGTTGGAATAAATGCTTTAAAATTTGAACTAAAGTGCAATAATTGCATGCCCCTTAAAAAGTTAGAACTCCCAAAAGGGACTAACAAAATGGGGGAGAGGGAGTAAATATTTGTGCCTTGATGTGAATTGTACATGATATCTTAGAAGGTTAAAGGAACTATATATGAGGAAATAACAAAATCAAGCTGGCCTTAGTGGTGATCATCACCTCAAATCAAGTGAACTATATATGAATTAATCACCATCAGTTGGAAAGGGTCACTGCAGCTTCAAGCAACTAGGGTTCATAAATTGCTCATCCAAAGAACAAGTGATATTTTTTTTGTTTACTTAATGTTTTATACAACAGGAACAACCACAAAAGCTAACCGGAAAGAAATTTGTTAGTCCTGCCTTGTACTGTATTCTTCCTGAAACAGTATATAGCAGACCATACTAACCAATAAAAAGTGGTTTTGATAGCTATGCTTCTCAAGGACATAAATTATGGACAATATGTCAAGTTTTTCCTTCAGGTACACATACCTGACCAATAAATCCCTGTGTAAGATGAAAGAACTGTCAGTGGAAAACTTTTATGCTTCACAAGAATAGATTAAGAAAGTATCTGGGGAAACTTTTCCAAAAGCAGGGATGTCTTAGTCTTTGTTCATTAGAGACAATCATGTTGAGCATATGTTTAACAACAGGCTTGTCTAATGCATGTGTCCAGTTTGACACAAGCGATTCATGCATGTCAAGATTTACATAATAAAGGTAGAATCAACCCTCACTTCACTAATAACCCTGGGGGACAAAGTAAAGTTCGTTAAAGCATATAAAATTTTAAATATCCTCATTGTATTTTAAGACAAGAAAAAAGTACGAAAATCTTGTAGACCCACAACCAGTGTTATTAAAGGCGATAGGCGCAACAAGGCGCCAAGGTCTCCTAGGGCCTAGGCTCAAGGCACAAGGCGAGGCTCAGGCTTCACCGAAGTGAGGCGCACCTCATACGTAAAAAAATATATAATTTAATATAACTAAATAATTTAGGGTTCAACATAAGAAAAAGGAAATCTTAAACATTTAAAAATATATATAACAACAAATACTACTATTTTAACAATAAATGAACAATATTTCAAAATTTAATATAAAACATGAATAAAATGTGAGGGGATAAGAAGAATAAGAAGAGGGGGGGGGGAATAGATCAGTATAAAGAATTATAAGAAAGAAAAGAAGACCGAAGAATAAGCATAAGAAGATGGAAGAAGAAGAAGGCAATGTCATCACAGCCATGTGAAGAAGAAGATAGCAACGTAGAGGAGAAAAGTAGAGAAGACAATAACGTAGACAAGAAGAAGAGAAAAGAAAAGAATGAGACAAAAACGTAAGAAGAGAAGGGAGAAAAAAAAGACAACAATGTGAAAAAGAATTTTTGGGTTTGCTGGACTGGATAATGAAGGCATGCAGTATAGTAAAGTATTCTTCGGAGATTAAGAATTAGGGCTAATTTTTGTTTTATCATTAACTTATGGTGGAATGCCCAATGTATTGGCATGTGTAGTAAGAGTAGGGGTCTTTTGTAGCTATATCATCTTAAATCAATGGTCAGATTTTAAACAAAACTAATTAAAGCAACAATAAAAAAAACCCTCAAGACGTGGGCCTTACTGCGCTTGGGACCAGTCGTCTGCCTTATCAAAGTCGCCTGGCTTGGAACACTACAAAGCGCAAACCTTGGGCCTGGATAGGACTTAGGCCTAAGCACATGCCTAGGCGCGCCTTTAATAACACTGCACAACCTTAAGAGAGAGATCCTATGCCCATCTTTCAGAGCTTATCTCTGAGACTATGTTTGTAAGTTCGAACTTACATATAACATAAATTTTTTTTTTTTTTGGTCATGAAATAAAATAGGATATTTTCCCATGCATTACTTTACCATTCAACATTTTCAAGGAATTATGCCTTACAACTTGGTGAGAATTTTCTTCCATCAAATTAATAATAAACTAGAATATGCTTACAAGTAACTAGTGAATCTTTATCTAGGCATAAGATGGAGAAAATCATGGTTATCACAAGAGAACAGGGTTCCTCTAAACTCTAGGAAACATGTAAGAGGTCCTCTTAACTGTGATAAACAGACATAAATATGAATTATGCCTTATAACTTGGTAAGATAGCTACCTCATCTAAAAAAGCCAATTGATTGACACTACATAAGGATGAGTGCAGTCACAATATAAATGTGAAGAATTTCTATTTGCTGCCATTCACATACCAGAAGATGAAATATTTGTTAGATCTAGTCTTATATACCTCTGATAGCATTAATTTAAACTTTTTCCTTTCCAATGATCACCATAAAAAATGTTGAGCAACTAATACATAATTCATCACATTCTGATTCCTTATCTGCAGTGAAGCAATAAAACATCCTCTCTAACAAAAAAATGGGAACTATAATTAGTTGAATTGGTCTCCCTGTCTCAATGCCAAAAATGAATGCAATTGATGAAAATTCAATAGTAGCATTAACCAAAGCCAACACAAGGAAAAATGAACTGATACGGTCAAATGATATGACCATCAAAAGAAAAACTGACTTGAGTGTCCTTAGCAACAGGAAGAAGAAAACAAAAACTTCATGCTACACACTCCAATACTCCACAAGCATAAAATCGGTTGAAGTAACAAAGGACTTTGCCAAAACAAGATATGGCACTTGATAAAGTGTGAAGGCAGAAATAGATTCATGTACATGCTCCATACGGAAGATACATAAAAGCTTTGCTAAGCCGAGAGTTCATTGAATTAGTCCATAAACTTCCAACACCATGTACAAAAAAAATTGAATTGAATTGAATTGAGTCGTATCAGAAGCATAAGATTTTCCTGCTCAACAACCATATATATTGATATAGTATATAGGAAAAATCTCAGCAATAATAGACTCTGCAAGTGTTGCATGCAGAATTTATCTATATGGCATTAAGCTAACCAATTTGAGCTAAACCAGCTGAATCTAATGAATACCATGAAGAAATTCCTCATGAGAACAATCTAGACCCTGCAGTAATCAACTACATGTACAAGACATAAAACCAAAGCCACTGATTTCGAACAAAAACAAAAAAAAAATTGAATCAATTGCTAATTGGCCCAATTCAAAACACAAAGAAAGTGGATTATTTTCATCAAAACCCAAAATCCCCAATGAATGAATAGCATACAACAAGAGCATGAAATTATACAAACATAACACCAAAGCCACTGAATTTTTAAACAAAAACGACAACCGATTCAACCAAAAAATGGTCCAATTCAAAACACAAAGAAAGTGGATTAATTTCATCAAAACCCAAAAACCCAGAACAGAAAAATTCTCAATGAATCAATAGTATGCAACAAGAACATGAAATTATACACTCTGCCAGTGCCAAAGATTGAATTTATCCATAGAGCATGAAGCTAACAAATCTGAGCTAAACCATCCCAATCTAACAGATACTGCAAAGAAGCCCCTTATGAGAACAATCAAAGCCATAACATAACACCAAAGCCACCGATTTTTCTAACAAAAACGAAAATCGAATCAACCATCAATTGGTCCAATTGAAAAACACAAAGAAAGTGGATTAATTTCATCAAAACCCAAAAACCCAGATCAGTGAAACCCATGATGAACCAATAAATAATATGCAACGAGAGAGAGAGAGAGAGAGAGCATACGGCGAAGTGGGAGAGATTGACGATGGTCCAGGCCATGCCGGGAGAGCAGCCGAATAGGGAGAGAACGATGAGCCAAGAGAAGAAGAGGATCAAGATGTAGGTGGTCCAAACCCCTGGATACGTGAACCACTCCGTATTACGATTCATATCAGGTGGATGCGATGCCTTTACGTACATCATTTTTCAATCCCCCAATTTCCCTGAACCCCTCCTCCTCTGTTTGATCTTCTTCGTATGGCGGCGGCGGCGGCGGCGGCGGCGGCGATTGTGGTGCTTGGATTGGCTTGGCCTGGCTTGGCTTGGATTGGATTGGATTAGGTTTTGGGGGAAGGAGAAGAGGAAGCTCTGATCAATTCAATGCAATACAAATCTCACGCCTCTAATCTCATCACCCTGTATAATAGATTTTTATATTTCATTATTATTATTATTATTATTTGTAAACACAAATAAATAAATGCCATGACACTATACTAGAGACCCTACATATACATACATGAATTTAAATTCAATTATTCATAAATTATTTAGAATTATCATTTTATATTTCATATTTATTTTATATATAAATTTAATCTTCACCACATATAGTGGTGTTTTGGGAAATTAACAAAAAATTAATTTTAATTTATTTTATCTTTTTGTGAGTAAAAAATATGAGAGGTGATATGACCAAAAATAAAAAATAATTAAAAATTAACTTTTTATTTTGTTCTCAAAACACCCCACAAATACATACCTAAAATATTCTAAATAAATATGTCTGATTTCCAAACTTTTCCTAAAGCTGTACAATCGAAAAATATCAGGATAAATGCACAAACCTCACTTATATAATTACAAAAATACAAGATTTAATATATTTATTTAATTTTTAATTATGAGTAATGGAATATTAAAAAATAATTTAAACTAAAAGACCCTAAACCATAAATAAGCTATGTCTCTCCTATAAACAAAATATACAAATATTTTATAATACATAAACGTAAAAAAAAAAAAAAAAAAAAAAAAGAAAAGCCAATTAAAAGGAAAAAAAAACATTATATATAAATAACAGCTTTACGCCTGCCTTTTTTTTTTAAAAAAAAAAAAAATTATTTAGTATTTTTAGATTACTTTTTTGACATACATACAAATGACAAGTATCACGTTTTCTACCTAACCGAGTAAAACTTGATATACTATCATTTTCAATAATTTATTAAATTTATCATCAAATTTAAATTTGATAATAAAATTACTTGTTACTCCTCCAATAGTCATCAAATCACAATTTATTGTCGTTGTATTTTTATCACTGGATATCCCGTAGATCATCACCTCAAGACAAAAGTTTGTGAAAAAATTATACTGACTAATTGTCTGCCCGGTCGACCGGTGATTTAATGAAACCACAAAACTATCCGTTAAAGCATTTAATATTAAAAAAGAAACTTTTACTCAAATTTAATTAGTTGATAATTTAAAAGTTTCTTTTTTTTACCGTGTTTTGTGTGCTCTTGATGTAACACATTCATAATTATTAGTGTAATAAAATTCATTAATATTAAGTGAAAATATGATAATAACTATAATATTATTTGCAATAATTGAATATGGTCTTGGCTTTGATGTTAGCTTAAAACATGAGGACGAATCTAACAACAATGGGCTTATTATTCTCCTTCTTGGGTCAAATGGAAAACTTTGAGAGTCCAGGAAAAATATGCGATGCTAGTAGAAATTGGTTTCCAAACAAAGGTATACTACTTAAGCCCAACTCAAATCACCTCCCAACAGGCAAATTTACTAGTTGGGCCAAGTACGGCACAAATTTAGTTTTTTAGGTATTATACATAAAAAAAAAAAAATTAAAAGTAAATCTATAATGATCATATATTTTTACTATTTTATTTTATCATCTGATGTATTTGTCTAGTTTTGCATGAAAATATACATGAATGGTAGGACTTGTTACATAAATAATTTTTTGACAAGTAACATAGTAAATATGATATAAAAATAATATGACAAGTGTAATATCATTTAAAAATTAGCAGTTGACCCATATAATACATATGTTTTTTTTTTCAAAAAATATTTGATGGTACAATGTATGTTATGAAAAAATAATTTTAATTTAAAATTAAAGTTAAAATTAAAATATGATTTTAATTATTTATTTTGATAATATTAACGTTATTGTTCAATAAAATTATTACTTGAATACTTATATATCTATAAAATTGTATAGTAGTAGAGTCAAATCCAAGGATCAATTTTAATAGTAAGTAAAATCGCAAAAATTGCTTCATCTTTTAAAAATATTGACTTATTTGTTGTTTTTAATTTTACTTATTACTAATCAATGATTAGATTTTTTCACTATCAAAATTTAACAGTTTGAGAATAATTTTGGGGATAAATTACACTTTGTCCCTTTTATGTTTAATCACTTTCTTACTTTAGTCATTAAAGTTTATTTTTTCTCACTTTGATCCTTCATATTTTAAGTTTTTCTTAGTTTACTCTTAAAACTAACTTTTATTTAAAAGTAGACAAAAAAATATCATAATAACTGTGATATAACACAACAAATATATTATTATATTAGAATTTAAATTTACATCAAAGGTGTGAGTCATTTATAATAAAATATTTTTATGCCACAAGACTGTTAATATGTTATTTTCTATCTAATTTTTAACAAAATTTATTTTTAGGAGTAAAAAAAAAATACAAATTTTAAAAGACAAAGTAAAAAAGTGACAAGATAAAAGAGATAAAATATAATTTATCCTAATTTTTTAATATGATACTTAAGATTAAAAAAAAATAAAGAATTTTTTTGTTATTTTTATTTTTAAAAATACGAAAAATAAAAATGATACCAAAAGCCTACCTCTCCCACAATTCTCAAAACTGAAAGTCCTCTTCACTAAAAGAAAAATGATTGGTTCATCAAATTTGGACTTGCCAATTATCCGAATTTTGTAAGTTGGACGATCAACGTCATTCTTACCAATCACGATTATTATATTTGTCAATTATAACTGTTACTCTTATTATTCAATGTGTCAATTAACATCTGTCTGAATGACTGATCGAATGATTAATATACACAAATTTAAATAATTCAAACGAGTTAAAATTTGATTGACATATAAAAATGTTGTTGCTCCATTAAAGAAAGGAAAGATGTTATTAGAGCATCTCTAACCGTTCATTTCTTTTTTCACTAAATCTGAGTAAAAAATAGGTTGTTTTCTTAATTTGATACGGCTTCCTCCAACGGTGAGCATCAAACCTGTCGAACAAAATATATGCAGAATTGAGCGAATGGTTATCCGGTGGGTCGACTGGTAAGACTAATTTTTTTTTAACCTGTTTGAACCTACCTATTTGAAAGGGAACCGGTCGATCGGTTGGTCTCCCCCAACGGTAAAGCACAGTAAAATAGTGAAATCTAGAACCTGTTCTCACTTTGATGAATTTTTTGTTCCATTCTCATTTTGATACCAATTTGTTGAAACCATTGGAGCTCCAAAAAGTGACTTTTTCACCAAATTTCAAATCTGATACAAGGTTTGATGAACCGTTGGAGATGGTCACCGTTGGAAATGGTCTTAAACCATTTCCAACGGTGCATCAAACCATGCATCAGATTTGAAATTTGGTGGAAAAGTGACTTTTTCAAGCTTCAATGGTTTCACCAATTTGATATCAAAATAAGAATGGAACAAACATTTCATCGAACTGAGGATAAACTCTGTATATCAATATTTCACCGTGCTTGACCGTTTGGGTGGGCCAACCGGTTAACCAACCGGATGTCCGGCCGGTCGACCCACCGGTCGACCCACCGGTCGACCTGCCGATCGACCCTTCCCTTTTAATGCACGGTTGGAGCAAGCCATATTAGATTGACAAAATTGACTTTTTTTAACTCAAATTTAGGCCAAGTTTGGAAAGTTGCCAAAAAGTCAAAAAGTAAAAAAGTTACTCAAAAAATTAAAAATTTATCACTATTCACCAAAAGTAAAAAATTACATCTGCACAACTCTCAATTCTAATTTTTTCCTACACACTAATTTATACAATTTTTTAATACACATTTTTCTATAAAAAGTCAAAAAGTTAACCCAAACATCCCTACACACTAATTTATATAATTTTTTAATACACATTTTTTTCATAAAAAGTTAAAAAATTAACCCAAACAATTTTATTTTTTTTCTCAACTTTTTAATCTAAAAAATAAAAAATACACTTATTTAAAACACTCTAAACAATTTCTAAATAAAAAATTTAATTCATCGTTAAAGATGCTCGTAACATACCACTTGTAATCCATTGCTGAAAAAGTTCGGTGTCACATCAAAAGTCGTGGCCAACTAGGTAGGTAATTAGCTACATGGGTAGGGAACTGATTAACCCTTTTTCCTTTTTCTTTTTTTTTTTGCCGTAATACTACTTTTTTGTGATGCACCACTACGTTGGGAGGTTTTGAGAAGTTGATAAAAAATTAAATTTTAATTTTTTACTAAACTTTTTAGTTTTTTGAAAAGTGATTTGAGAAGTTGGTAAAAAGTTAATTTTTTACTTTTTAATTTAATATTTATTTATGATGTCAAATTAAATTAAAATGACTAAAATATCCTTACCAAACATAAGAAATTTATTTTTTTATTTTTTTTCATAAGCCTTAATTTGTAATTTTACACTTGCGTTTTTAGCACTTACCAAACCAATTTTCTGACGTTTTTGACACTTACACTTTTAGATATTTTATCTAATAAGGTAACTTTTTATTATATTCCCAAAATGGCACGTTGTTGATTCCACCCTGACAAGATCTTCCTCAACCACCATGGTGTTTTCCGGAATTTATTAAATAATCCTCAAACACTATGTGATAGTACTTTTGTAATTTTCTTAATAAATGTAAAATATATTAAGACCTTGTTTGGGAATATATTTTTTTAATAATTTTTTAATTTTTGACTAAAATATAGTATAAAAAAAATTAGTACGTTTGTGATGATTTTTTAATTTTTTACGAAAAAATGTACAAAAAATAAAGAGAAAATAGAATCTTTGACTTTTTTATATAGGGTGTTGACTTTTTGATTTTTTTAATAATTTTTTTTACTTTTTGACTAAAAAAGCCACTTACCAAATGAGGCCTAAGTGAATTTTCTTTCGTCTTCTAATTATTTGACAAAGATGTAGATCGACATTATTTTACCAATATGATTTTTACTAATTATTCATGTTTCTGTAGATTTTACTCACAATGGGTCAATACCAACCCAAATTATACATCATCTATTCATCAAATTATTGATATACTAATTTTTGCTAAGCATCTACTCTGTGTGGGTGATTTTCTGATCGCACTGCCCGACTCAGTATT